TTGAAAAATACAAGGCTTCAGTTTTCATCTACCTCTCTTTTTTTCCTTATTATTATTTTTTTACAGACATGGGGGGTCTCACTACATTGTCCCAGCTGGTCTCAAACTCCTGGGCTCAAGCGATCCTCCTGTCTCAGCCTCCCGCAATGCTGGGATTACAGGCATGAGCCACCACACACGGCCAACCTCTCTATCTTAATGTGACCTTGTCTCTGTATTTTTCTTGTTCCATTCCTCCCAATACTTCAGAAAATACAGTTGTTGTTCCTTTCCTCTAAAGACAACTGAGGATTCCATGTTATCCTGACTTTTCAGTGACCTTGTCCCTACACCTGTCATCTTCGGCAGAATCTTCCCTACTCCATCAGCTCTCTGATGCTGCTGCATTTGACAATGGTAATGTACTAAATTTTTATTACATTATCTTTCTCTGAATACTCTCATGACATTGCCCTATTTCTAGTTCTCATTCCACATCTCAAATTGTGCCTATGCTGGTTTTTCACTCCCTCACCCTTAATATTCTTCCCTTCCTCCCCTAATTTGATCTTTATTCCTCTGTTTTCTCTCTGTCTCCTGGAGAATGAAGTAGGGGAGGAGAGGGAGTGGGGAAATTGAGGCAGGATGGAGAGGATGTTTCTGCTGGCAATTTGTCACTCTCACATATTGGGATGGCAAAAAAGGTTGAGAACTATTGCTCACTACTCTCTGGAGAATTCATTTAGTCTCAGAACTACCATATTTACTCTAGGTAGTAACTCTCCAATTTGATTTTTCTCTATAATTTTATAGCCTCTTGCAGGTGGATCACCTGAGGTCAGGAGTTCAAGACCAGCCAGGCCAACATGGTGAAACCCTGTCTCTAATAAAAATACAAAATTAGCCGGTGTAGTGGCACACGCTTGTAGTCCCAGCTACTGGAGAGACTGAGACAGGAGAATCACTTGAACCCAGGAGGCAGAGGCTGTAGTGAGCCGAGATCCTCCCACTGCATTCCAGCCTGGGCAAGACAGAGTGAGACTCTGTCTCAAGAAAAAAAAAAAAAAAAAAAAAAAAAAAAAAAATCAGCCTCTTTCCTGAGACCCAGTCCATGCTTCTAATAGCATAATGAATATTTATATTTTTATGTCCCACTACTGGACATTTCCAACTAAACACAACCAAACTTTGGCATCAACTTCCCCATCTAAAATAATTCCCTTAATACCTTCCCTATTTTTTGAAAGATCCAACCAATCTCTGTTACTCAGGTTTGAAAAATGGTGTTACTGTCTTCACTTCTTATAGCCAGTCAGTGATGAAATCATCATTGGGAATGCTACATTATCCTCATCAAAGAGAGGGGGCAAAGAACTCTAACCAAAGCGCTATCCACATCAATTCTTCCTGCTACACTCACTACAATCTTACTTCTAGCCTAATATCAAAGTAAAAGACCACTTTCTTCATGTCATTTCTTTATCTAGCAATTTAGAATAGCTCCAATATCAGCTATATATAAAGTCTAAACACCTACATCAATGGATCCTCTGAAATCTGACAACCACCTTCACACCCCATTTACTATTTTTCTCTACTAGAGCATTTCTCAACCTTTTTGTTCCCAAAGCCCTTTACAGTCTTAAAAATGATTGAGGACCCCCAATAACTTTCATCTATGTGGATATCTATCTATATCCACCTTATTATAAATTTAAATTGAGAAAAATTTAAAACACAAAGTACAGAGGCATACACTGCATTAACTGTCAGAGCGATGCCATTACATCATGTAGCCTGAAAAACTCCATGGACACTTGTGAGAGAATGAGAGTGAAAAAGGCAAATAGGCCGGGCGCGGTGGCTCAAGCCTGTAATCCCAGCACTTTGGGAGGCCGAGACGGGTGCATCACGAGGTCAGGAGATCGAGACCATCCTGGCTAACACGGTGAAACCCTGTCTCTACTAAAAAAAAAAATATATAAAAAACTAGCCGGGCGAGGTGGCGGGCGCCTGTAGTCCCAGCTACTCGGGAGGCTGAGGCAGGAGAATGGCGTGAACCCGGGAGGCAGAGCTTGCAGTGAGCTGAGATCTGGCCACTGCACTCCAGCCTGGGTGACAGAGCAAGACTCCATCTCAAAAAAAAAATAAAAAAAGAAAAAGGCAAATAACTTCTTAGTATTATTATAAAAATAGTTTTGACTTCTAGTACCTGGCTCACTTTGAGAATACTGCTCTACTTTGCTTCTCTCATCCATCTCTTTATCAATCATCAATGATTACTTATGACTGGTTTTTGTGTGCATCAATAGGCTGGAGGAAAAAAAAAAACACTGATAACCACAGATTTACAAAATAATCTCCAAATTCATTAGCATGCTTGCTGATTAATAATCTGACAAAACCTATCAATTTTATTTCCTGCTATTACCACCATTTCCTTTACCTCCTATGCTGCACAATTCAACCCAGGTTGAAGGTCCCAAGTAGAAGAAATCCTTTTCTGCTTCAGTATCTTTCAATACACTATTCTCTTTGCCCAGAAGGTCTTCTCTCACTCATCCTTTGGATCTAGTTCACAGGTTGTCTCTTCTATGAAGTCTTCCCTTGATAATCCCCTCCCCAATTACCCTTTTCTCTGGGCTTCCATAGCATATTAGAGCTTCTCACATTGCACTGTAATTATTGTTTATATGTCTGTCATCCCACTAGATAGCTATGTGAAGGCAGATTTGCATCATACTCATCTTTGCATTTCCTTTTTTTTCTTTTTTGGGGATGGGGTTTCGCTCTTGTTGCCCAGGCTGGAATGCAGTGGCTTGATCTCGGCTCACTGCAACCTCTACCTCCTGAGTTCAAGCAATTCTCCTGCCTCGACTTCCCAAGTAGCTGGGATTACAGGTGCCCACCACCATGCCCGTCTAATTTTTTTGTATTTTTAGTAGAGATGGAGTTTCACTATGTTGGCAAGGGTGATCTCGAACTCCTGACCTTACGTGATCCACCTGCCTCGGCCTTCCAAAGTGCTAGGAATACAGGTATGAGCCACTGCGCCTGGCCTCATCTTTGCATTTCTAGTACCTCACACATAGTGGGAACCCAAATATTTGATCATTCACTTGAATCTGTCTGAATTGAATGAGTCAGTTTAATATGCATCTATCCCCAAATACTCCAGACCACAGTACTTGCCCTTTCCTCTGAATTTCTGCAGTACTATATCAGAAAAAGGACTACAGGCAAGTAATAGCTATTCCTTCCTACAAAAAAGATTAGGGACTCTGGCCCATTAGAGCAAGTCTAACTCCCCAGTTGAGAGCCTCTATCAAGTGGCTCTTCTTTACCTTTTCAACCTTATTTTTCATTATTCTCCAACATTAACTTACCACCTCTGTCATTTAATAAACTATATATAAACACACAATATCCATTCTATTTTCATTCCTTTGGTTTATACTCTTCTCTCCCCTGGGAATTCCATTTCCCTGTTATTCTAAATTCTCTTCCTTAAAAGATCTGTTAAATTGCTCTAATGGTGGTGTCTTTTTAAAAAAGAAAGAAAAAAAAAAGATTGGTTCAAGATCCATAAATCCCATGAAGCTTTCTAGGACTATGCCATACCAAATGAAAATTTCCCCTTTCTGAATATCAAATGCATTTCCACAGATTTACCACAATTTACCTACCACTTGTCTCATATAACTTACTATTTCTTGTTCTTAAACAGTTTCAAGTAAGTCAATGATGCCACCTCAAACAGCTTGACAGCCTTTTAAGGGCAGGTACTGTCTTCACTCAAAACATCTCAGTGCCATTATGCACCAGACAATGGCAAGGTTTCTAATTTTATTTCTTTTGTATCAGCCCTTGCTAGTGACAGGAAAATAAAGGCATGTTTGATAAACACTATTCCCTTTACGTGATTTTCTTCCTAACTGTTCAGAAGAATCCAGGTTATTTTTTTCTTTTCTTTTTCTTTTAATATAGGGTCTCACTATATTGCCCAGGCTAGTCTCAAACTTCTGGGCTCAAGCGATTGTCTTGTCTCAGCCTCCAGCGTAGTTGAGCTTACAGAGTAGCTGAGATTACAGGCGCACACCACCACACCCAGTTTGGGTTATTTTTTTTTCTAGGAAACATTGCATCTATAAATATAATTACCAATTTGAAAATAAAATAGGTGCTGTGAGATGCATCTTCTTAGCACCCTAACACTGCAAGCTTAAATAAGACACTTCATTTTACAGGTAACTCTCTCTGAGTCCTCATCATACCTATTTTTAAGGGTCCTTCCTTTTTTTGCTCCTTCACCTTAGATATATCTTTTCTTACTGTAGTTTTTAAGAGTTTTAGCTCCTTTAACACATTCGGATGCATGGTTACTGGTAATAATGCCAAACCATTTGAGAGCCAAAGAAACGAGGCAAGTAAAAATCATGCATAAAATGAAAACAATCTTTGAAAACCAAGAAGATATGGTAATTGGGTCTCAGACCAATGCTTTTCCTTAAATGGAATTTGTCTAAAGAGCCACATCTTTCCCCTCACCATTCTCTTAAGTATCTACACACGAATGGGGCATTAGTTGGAAATCAGACTAAACATAACCATCAAAACTTAGTCCATGATATCACGGATTGATGGTAACTTCTGAAGATTACTTTCTCCAATTCTTCACTTTTTTGCATATGTGATAAAGTCGGCAAGAAAACATAGGAAATTATAGTTTAAAATAATCATAAGATTAAAGATACTCTAAGTTCTTCTTGTTTCTAAGTGTATCAACCACAATTGAACGTTGAAACAACACTACAAGAGAAAACGGAGGTTAAGGGCAATTCTTTTCGATATATGTACAAGGGAATATTCTTTCAACATGGAAGTCTTGGAACGAATTTCATGTAAGAAGGGGACTGATGAATGAGGAAAGAAAGGAAGCCATCACCTGACATGCAGCAGCTCCCTCACCCCGTTTTCCTCCACCCCAAAAGCTGTAGGAAGTAGAAAGCTGCAGAATGTACCTTCCAGGCCAGGAGCAAAACATTGAGGATGGCCAGCAAGGGGCAGGGTCCGTTCTCATTCTGGGTGATGATGGGTGTGTTCTCTTCCTTCCACTGGATCCACTTGATGTGATACACAGACTGTCCCGGGAAGCGTTCCTTGGAGGCCGCCAGCACCTGAGCGGTCTCCTCCTCCTCCTCCTCCCCCTTGCACAGAGGAACAGCCCCGGGCAACACCGCCGCGCCCTCCTCCTCCTCAGGGACCCTGTTCTCCGCTCCCTCCTCACTATTGAACTCGCAGCTACTGGGAAAAGAATGCAGGTTAGAGAACGACTCCAGAGAGTCCAGGCTCGGCGATTCCCCAGGAGGGGTCGGGTCGCTGCAACTGCTGCTGAGGCCGCCGGCGCTGCTGGGCTCTTCGGAGCCGGCGGCCGTCAGCTCTGCTTGGCAGGTGTCGGCGAGATCCGGGCGGTCTCCCGCGTCTCCGGCGGGACCCAACTCATGACCCACTCCGGCCACGGCTGTCTCCGGGGAGGCGGTCACCTTGTACTGCCCTCTCAGAGGCGCCTCGGCGGCAGCAGGACTCTCCACACCACTATCCTTCAAGTCCAAACCCGGGGAGGAGCTGCAAGGTCCGGGAACCTCAGGAGAGCCCGCGGGAGAAGCCGAGTCCGGGAGGCTCCTGCTGGCGGCCGCCGCCCCCAGCCCATTCCCGCCGCTGCTCTCCGCCGCCCATACCCCAGAACCATCACCAGCGGCAAGCCTGGTCTCTTGTAGCCCTTCCTGCGAAGAACCTGTCCCTGACGCTGGCCCGGCCGCCACCCCGTGTTCTAGCGGCTGCAGGCTCTCGGGGCTGCTCTCCATACCGGGCCGCCCGCCCCCAGCTCTATGGAGACCGCGGCCAGTTCTCCGCAGCCAGCGCCTCGGACGCCATGACAGCTGTATTGGCAGCAACAGCGCCCTGGCGCGGCCCCGGCCAGGCACGTCACCGGGGAGGGCACTAAGAACGCGCGCGCGCGCGCGCGCTACCGCGCTCTCCGTGCGCTCTGAGCTTGCCTGCGCTTGACTGCGCGCTGAGGGGCGAAGGCGAACCACTCAGCAGCCTCCCACGTGGCCCAGCCCCTTCCGTGTGCCCGCCCGAGCTCGCGCTCCGAAGGCCGGGCGTGGAGGGCGTGGCTAGGAGGGCGCGGCCGGGGGGCGCGTCCCCGCGGCTCAGCTCCAGTAGGAAAACATCCTCTCACTATGTGGCCGGAAGTTGAACTCCGGGGCAGCCCGCTTGTGTGCGGCTTCTTTAAAGGCAAGGCAGGCGGCGGACAGCTTGGTTGTAACCCTTTAGCGCTGGGTCGTGTGTGGCCCACCCTCGGGCTCAGGCGTTGTGGAGTGGTTGGAGGTGGTTGTAGTATTTGGCAAAGAACTTGTGCCTGAAGGGCTCGGGAGACCTGTTTTCTCAGCTCCTAATATGGAAAATTGAAGGCATTTCTTACGAGATGCAGATTTTAAAGCGGGCGTATCTACTCGAGGGGTTTGGATTACTGCACTGCACAAGTTCCAGTATCTCTCGGTTTTGGCTGAGAAGAGCTGTGCTTCTCACCAGCTACTGGTGAGACACTCGCCCTACAGGCAGAGTCAGTATGGTTGTGGACATTGACCTGCGCAGCAAAAGAAAGTGGCTAATTTGCGCCAATAATAATAAATTAGCTTGTGTTTGAATTAGCCAAGTGTTTGCGGTTTTGCTAACCTTTGCATGGAGTGGGAAGTGCCTGCTTCTGAAAAGGTGACTTTTTTCCTAATTAGAATAGACTCCTCTTAAGGCCATGCAGTTTTCAAAGAAAAAAGACAAGCTGGACGTTTTGTTAGTAACAAAATGTATGTGGGTCCTATTCTAACTTGTTCCAGAAAAGGGCTTTTCCCCCCATTTTTTTCCTTTCAACATTTTCTGGGCTGTTGGGGATACAAAATTTAACAAGACAGGTCTTCCTTCGCAGACATATAAATACCTCTGTTGGTTAGAGAAGGCAGACAAAATTGCAAAGTAGTATTTCATTCAGTCGTTTAATACATTTTAGTACCGAGTAAGTTGCTGGATACTGTCTGGCACTGGAGATGCCATAGTGGATCACAGAGCTTATATCTTCGTGGAGCTTACTGGTTTTTTGTTTGTTTGTTTGTTTGTTTTTTGTTTTTGAGACGGAGTCTCGCTCCGTGGCCCAGGCTGGAGTGCAGTGGCGCCATCTCGGCTCACTGCAGGCTCCGCCTCCCGGGTTCATGCCATTCTCCTGCCTCAGCCTCCCGAGTAGCTGGGGCTACAGGCGCCTGCCACCACGCCCAGCTAATTTTTTGTATTTTTAATAGAGACAGGGTTTCATCGTGTTAGCCAGGATGGTCTCGATCTCCTGACCTCGTGATCCACCCGTCTCGGCCTCCCAAAGTGCTGGGATTACAGGTGTGAGCTACTGCACCCGGCCAATGTTTTTTTTTTTTTTTTTTCTTTTGCTATATTTTTAATGCCTACTTAGATGGCTTTTTTTTTTTTTTTTTTTGGAGACGGAGTCTCGCTCTGCCCCCCAGGCTGGAGTGCAGCTCCACCTCCCGGGTTCAAGCGATTCTCCTGCCTCAGTCTCCCAAGTGGCTGGGACTATAGGCGCCTGCCACCAGCTAATTTTTTCTATTTTTAGTAGAGATGGGGTTTCACCATGTTAGCCAGGATGGTCTCGTGATCCGCCAGCCTTGGCCTCCCAAAGTGCTGGGATTACAGGCGTGAGCCACCACACCCGGCCACACTTAATATGTATTACATATAATACATGCATGTTTAATACTTATATTCTTGTTTACCTGAGAATGCAGAAGACTGTGCCTTTTTTTTTTTTTTTCTCGAGACGGAGTCTGGCTTTGTCGCCGAGGCTAGAGTACAGTGGAGCAATCTTGGCTTATTGCAACCTCCACCTCCCACGTTCAAATGATTCTCCTGCCTCAGCTTCCCAAGTAGTTGGGACTACAGGGGCACACCACCATGCCTGGCTAATTTTTTTTGTATTTTTAGTAGAGATGAGGTTTCACTAGCTTGGCCAGGCTGGTCTCGAACTCCTGACCTCATGATCCGCATTGACATGATACTATGATATATGTCTAACTGTGGGGTCCAGCCCTAGGGAGCTTAGCGGGTATTCTCCCCGTGTGCGGAGACGAGAGATTGTAATAAATAAAGACACAAGACAAAGAGATAAAGAGAAAACAGCTGGGCCTGGGGGACCACTACCATCAACATGCGGAGACCGGTAGTGGCCCCGAAGGGCTGGACTCGCTGATATTTATTGCATACAAGACAACTGGGCAGGGTAAAGAGGGTGAGTCTTCTAAGTGATTGACAAGAGAAGCAAGTCACGTGATTACAAGATAGGGGTAGCTGAAGCCTAGCGAGAAGGCAGCATACCTCAGCGTTTTCTTCTCTGCACTTGTAAGAAAGATCAAAGACTTTAAGACTTTCACTATTTCTTCTACCGCTATCTACTTACAAACTTCAAAGAGGAACCAGGAGTACGGGAGGAGCATGAAAGTGGACGAGGAGCGTGACCACTGAAGCACAGCGCCACGGGTTTAGGCCTCCAGATGACTTCGGGCAGGCCTGGATGATATCCGGCCTTCCACAAAAAGCTGGTGGAGCAGAGTGTTCCCTGACTTCTCCAAAGAAAGGACACTCCCTTTTGCGGTCTGCTAAGTAACAAGTGCCTTCCCAGACACTGGCCTTACCACTTGACCAAGGAGCCCTCAAGCGGCCCTTATGCGGGCATGACAGGAGGCTCACCTCTTGCCTTCTAGGTCACCTCTCACAATGTCCCTTCAGCACCTGACCCTATACCTGCTGGTTATTCCTGGGGTATATTAGTAATGCAACAAAGAGTAATATTAAAAGCTAATAGTCAATAATGTTTATAATAATGATTGATAATCGTCCATAATCATCTCTATATCTAATTTGTATTTTAACTATTCTTATTCTAACTGTTTTCTTTATTATACTGAAACAGTTGGTGCCTTCAGTCTCTTGCCTGGGCACCTAGGTAGTCCTTCGCCCACATCCAAATCTTGGACAACAGGAGCATTATAAAAGATAATGGAGAGCTTTTTCAGAATGTTGAATTTAGGAGTTGTGTGTGCTTTTGATCTTCATGTCAATCCATAAACAATAAATCTTGTTCTTAAATTTGAATTTGTTGCCTAAAATGGAATTGGAGATGTTAATAGATTACAATATATGCTGCTGGTTTAAGCATTTTATGGTATTTTAGGCCATGAAATATAAATAAGAATAGTACAGATTTCAAGACTGGGCGCAGTGGCTCACGCCTGTAATCTCAACACTTTGGGAGGCTGAGGCGGGCAGATCACCTGAGGTCGGGAGTTCAAGACCAGCCTGACCAACATGGAGAAACCCCGTCCCTACTAAAAATACAAAATTAGCTGGGTGTGGTGGCACATGCCTGTAATCTCAGCTACTTGGGAAGCTGAGGCAGGAGAATCAGTTGAACCTGGGAGGCGAAGGTTGTGGTGAGCTGAGATTGCGCCATTGCGCTCTAGCCTGGGCAATAAGAGTGAAACTCCATCTCAAAAAAAAAAAAAGAATAATACAGATTTCAGGAAATTTAGAATTTAGCATGGTACCTCAAATGTAAAAAGGAAATCTATAAAGCTGTGTTATATGAATAAATTAAATGAATGAATCATTTATAGACCAGTGGGCCATAGGAGAGCTAAAAATCATGGCATACACTTCTCAAACAATGGCCTTTCACCATTTTTCAAAACCTTTACTTGCATAAACCTATACTTGCTGTGGTAGTTTTTCTTGGTATATCTTTCAAATGCTCACATGGCATCATTTAATAATTTATTTGTAACAAACAGAACCAGTTTTTATTTTCCTGTGTTGTCAACAATTAAACCTAGATAAACAGCTGTGAAAATATAGTTATTTAAGTTCATGAAAATATACATAGCTATTTTTTAAGGGAGGTGAGGAGTGGCATCTAGGGAGAATACCAGAAGACAAACTGATATTTTATTCTTATTTTGCGTATATGTATCTTTAGGTAAACTCGGAGGTAAGATTGCCATTTTTAAGTTAAATAGTTACCATCCAAATTTAATTAAATTAATTTATTTAAGACAGGGTCTCACTCTGTCACCCAGGTTGGGGTACAGTTGCACAATCATGACTCCCTGAAATCTGAACCTCCCAAGTTCAAGTGAGCCTCCTGCCTCAGTCTACTGAGTAGCTGGGACTACAGGTGTACACCACCATGCCCTGCTAGTTTTAAAAATTTTGTAGAATATGTTGCCCAGGCTGGTCTTGAACTCCTTAGTTCAAGCAATCCTCCCACCTCGGTCTCCCAGAATGCTGTAATTATAGGCATGAGCTAGTGTGCCTGGCTACTATCCAAATTTTAAAAATTATTTTTCAAAGTATCAGATGTAATAGTCTTAAAAGTTAAATAATTTATATGAAAACAAAGCAGTTCCCTGTTCTGTCCTTCCAGACCCTTGAGTCCTGTTTTTTGTAAACAGCCTCACAGTCTCTTTCAACTCATGATCATCGGTATGACTGATCATACTGCTAACTCTGTGGCTAAGTTAGTGGGAAGTGAAGAATTAAGCAAATAAAATAATGAGGCAACTGAGTAATTTTTGTTGTTTGTTCTTTTTCATTCTTTGAGACAACTGTTAATTCCAAGACAGACAAAAAGCTTAACACAAAAATAAATCACAGTAAAATACCTGACTTAGCGGTGAATACTTACGTAGTTCTAATGCTTTAATCTTTGAGTATGTAATCAAAAATTGTTTAATAACTGGAAGATTGGAGCAATAGGAGGAGGAATGATATAAAAGGAAAGAACTAAATCCTCATCTTCCATGGGAATAAATCAATGAACAATATATACAATTATTTTTTTCTGTCCAGTGAATGGAATACAGTGTTTTGGGTTTTATTCTCATGATTTAACTCATGATCAGTTCCTTTTTTTTTTTTTTTTGAAACAGAGTCTCACTATGTTGCCCAGACTGGAGTGCTGTGGCTATTCACAGTGGCTGTTGTGGCACACTACAGCCTCTAACTTGGCTCAAGCAATCCTACTGCCTCAGCCTCCAGAGTAGCACAAACTACAGGTGCTCACCACCACACCCAGCCTCATAGCTGTTCTTTAGCTCTTCGTACCCTTGTTTCTGAGAAACAAGTTTACACTCTGGTTTCTTCATTTAACAATTGTAGGCTGGGTGCTGTGACTCACTCCTGTAATCCCAAAACTTTGGGTGGCCAAGGTTGGAGGATTGCTTGAGCCCAGGAGTTCGAGGGTGCAGTGAACTACGATGGCCTGGATAACAGAATAAGACCATCTAAAAAATAAAACCCAAAACACTGTATTCCATTCACTGGACAGAAAAAAATAATTGTATATATTGTTCATTGATTTATTCCCATGGAAGATGAGGATTTAGTTCTTTCCTTTTATATCATTCCTCCTCCTATTGCTCCAATCTTCCAGTTATTAAACAATTTTTGATTACATACTCAAAGATTAAAGCATTAGAGCTACGTAAGTATTCACCACTAAGTCAGGTATTTTACTGTGATTTATTTTTGTGTTAAGCTTTTTGTCTATCTTGGAATTAACAGTTGTCTCAAAGAATGAAAAAGAACAAACAACAAAAATTACTCAGTTGCCTCATTATTTTATTTGCTTAATTCTTCACTTCCCACTAACTTAGCCACAGAGTTAGCAGTATGATCAGTCATATCAACTTATTCCTCAGGTCCATGTTAATACTGTATACGTTCTTCCTGGAACAGTCACTTCTTTCCCTCTGCTCTGGACATTTTTTTTAATAAGCCTGCTACACAGGTGTCATCCTGGGATTTCTCTTGATCACTTTTTGAGGAATTCCTTCTTCTGTGTTGATTCCTTTAGTTCTTGGATCTCCTTTTTCTTTAATGATGCATATTTTTGCTTTTTTTTTTTAAATAATAGAGATAGGGTCTCCCTCTGTTGCCCAGCCTGGAATGCAGCGACACGATCATGGCTCATAGCACCCCCAAACTCCTGGGCTCCTGTGGTCCTCCTGCCTCAGCCTTCCAAGTAGCTAGGATTACAAGCACATGCCACCATACCTGGCTCATTAAAAAAATAAATTATTTGTAAACATAGGT